TTTGCATATTTAAGCGACCAATATCGTATAAGCTTCCAATTTCGCTTGCTGGCGTAGCAAACCGATGCGGTAATTCCACGTAAGCTGCGTGCTTATCTGGCTGTAATGAATTATTTTGCAATCACTTAAATTCGAATTGTTTAAATTTTCATTATTTGTTCATAGCATTTATCATGTTCATTTCATTTCAACATAAAGTCACTTTCCATCCTTATAATATTTTAGAGTTCAATTTTAAATTTTTCGAAACTTTTGAAAAAAAAAATGCATTACATATGCAGTGGCTCGAAATTCAATCTTTATATCAATGAAAAATTTGTTATATCATTTTAATTTTGGCACCGATTCTATCCATCTTTTAACTTTCTTGGTTTTTTTATCATCTCAACAACCCGTTTCCCATAAATCGATTTTAAATTTGAAAATTTCCCAAAAAGATATATCAAATGATACTTTGACTTCATTTCCAAGCACATCGACGTCAACATCACAGTCATGATAAATCATCAGTTGTTTTTTCAAAGAACCGCTAAAGAATGAAGCACGTACGATACCCTGAAATTGACCGGTGCCGTTTGTTTCTAGCGTAAGACGATATCCAGCTGCGGCTGAAATTGTATTTTGCATGAAAAACTAACAAAATTATCAACCAATTATCAACTCCATCAGTATTTTTTGCTACAATATATCTTTGGTAATAAAAAAAAATTAATTTTAAGCTGATATTACTTACCGTACTCATTCATAGTGCGTATTTCAACATGACTGCCGTTCAAAAATTTTTCGCCACACATTAATTGTCCGATAACAGTATATTCTCTACCAACTGTATCTTCTTCATAGGGTATATCATCTTTATCAGGTATATCATCATCAGGTATATCTTCTTGATTAGGTGTATGTTTTTCACCAAATGTTAGTGTGCAACACATTAGGAGTGCAGAAAAAACGGTCAAAATTTGCATATCGAGATGGAATTATGCTGAAATTTCAAAAAACAAAAACAAATATGTTATGAAAGAAAAAATGAAATGCAATTTGTTATTCGCGGCTGAAAATTCGTTGTTTATTTTAATTAAGGATTAAAGAAATTTTGAAATCGCAGTGGCAATCAATTTCAATAAATTGTAATTTGAATTTTTCTCACGTAATTTTGTTATGTGTAAGTAAAAATATTTGAAAATTAAATAAACATTTTAAAGTCCAACTGCAACTTTTAAAATGCTCA